TAAAGCTTAAAGGATCCCTTCCAACCACAATACATTGCGCGCGCGATATGTGAAATCCGCCATTTTCTCTGCCATCCGGTATTGGACAAGTCGTGAAGTGGAAAGAAATCCTCGTTCATCCGAGTACATTTGCCTCACTGAGGTCTTGAATTTCCTCAATCGCGTTCCAAATTTATTGTTCTTTCTATTTGACTAGTTATTTCTTAATTATTTTTTCTGTTTGGGCGCGCAGGGTATTGTGGTTGGAAGGGATCCTTTAAGAGAGAGGAGAAGATATGGCATGTGATAAAAAGAGTAACGAAAACTATGAAGAGCTACTTCGAAATAGTATATTGTACTCGAATTATCTAAAATGAGAACAACGGAGAAAATCGGGAAAATCGTAGTTCGGTAGCCATAACAAAACAACACCATGTATCCGATTCGCGCATTTCTCATGAAGTAGTGAAGGCTATTCTCATTTTGGAATTAAAATGCACTTAGGATTCTGCCATGCTGTCAGAACTGGATTGAATGTGTTAACAGGTTGATACGGGAGCCGCGAACTAGATTTTGTCATAGCTAATAACATCCCATAACTTTTATAACGAAACTATATAAAGAATAAGGACTGTATTAACATTTATTTTACAAAGTGACCACAATTTTCCATTGTCTATTACCTTATTGATCATAGAGACGACGACAACAATGTTAAAAACTATGGTGAAGGCAGGAGTGGTTTCTCTGCAAGGTGAAGAACAGCACCAGAGGAGAAGTCGAAAGAAACACTCCACAACGTCTCACGTTTCTCCCGACACTTCTTTCGTGCTCTAACCGCTACCTGCTGGATTAATAACGGAACAGACCACAGTCAAGGCTCCTCTATCTGTTAAATCGTTCTTGTTTATTGAGTGCGCGAGAATTTCTTCAGTTGTGGTAAAATAAAGTATACTGAAATCAATTCTGTGAAAAGGAGTTCATTGTCATTTTTCATAAAAGTTATCGTTGGAGACCTGCCAAATACGCAAACTATAACAGAAGAAAATTATAATAAAAAGTGATTAAAAAAAAAACTAGCTGTAACCTGGTTGCTATGACTAACTGTTTTGCAGTACGTTATCAGCATTTATTAAGACTGTTAATCGAGTGCAAAGTTATAGTCCCTAAAACCCTTTTCGCAATTTCTTTACGCAAGTAAATTTAAAAGCACTTTTATTGCTAAATTCGAATATTCAAGATGCGAAGCTATCACAAGCCGTGTACAAGAGCCGTTGTCTTATGAGAAAACATTCTCTCATTTTATTGATAACAATCCAATTCAAAAGCTGTTCACACCCGCTCTTAAAAACTCAGCACCACTCCTAATGAATTCTATCTGTTTGAGACAAACGCATCGAATTTTCTTGCTTAAAAATGTTTTATTTAAGGAAACAGGGTAAATAGAGAATGAAAGAGGTTACAAATTGTAAAGTAAGAAATGGTATGGTGAGCGCGTTATGTGGTGTTTGGTAGAGTGATTTGTTTTTTTATTCATACATGGTAAAAATTCTAGTACAATGACTAACAACACCGTTCTAACACAAATTAGTTTTTGCTTGCCCCATATGGCTAATTCAAATTCGCAGAAAAAGCGGTCCTTTTTTCCTTTGTTGTGACACACCAGAAAGCTTAGCTGGGCACTTTGCATAATCAAACGCTGATAATGAAGCGTTATGTAATTGTCTTTCTGTGTGAGGTTTGACCAATTTTGACTGGAAGGATGCTGTTAAGACTGATATTCCTCGTTGTTACCAAGGATAAAATGCAAAACAGAAGAAAGAGTAAAGGAGGATGATGACGGCAGCAAATATAACGGAAAGTGAAACACAGCCGAAAACATTTAGAGGATCATCATGCAGCCCCTTTTGGGTAGGTGAATTAAAACAACAGTGCGTTTCACTCATAATAGTCAACATTCTCCTGTCCGAAGCGAAGGAAAACTATAGATAGCCTGTTGTATTTAAATTAGCTTAAGAAGAACTGTCAGGTAAAAAATAGCAGTTTTGTAACCATAATAAAAGGATAACATGTCTCCCATTCGCATACTCATTACGAAGTAGTAAGAGTTATTATTTTGTAATCAAAATGCGCGTACAACTTTGCCACGTTATCAAAACTGGATGAGATATGTCAATTTAGCTCCGAACTTTGTTTTGATGCTAAAGTGCTGTTAAAGGAATCATAGTGTTTACAACGAAACTTTGTAAAGATGTGGACTTTGTCAATATGCGTTCAAATATACTGAAGTAAAATGCTTAGAAAAAAAGTTTTATCATCACTATTTAACTTAGAGTTATTGTTTGAGACAAATACAAGATTAGCTGCTTTTCAGTATGTTACCAGCATCAATTAAGACTGTTTATCGAGTGCAAACGTATATTTTTTTCAGAGCCTATTCATAAATTTCTTTGCGCAAGTAATTTTAAAAGCCCTTTTGGTACAAATTCGATCGATGATATACAAGATGTCGTGAGGCTATCACCTGGCATGTAAATAAAGCTGGTCTTGCGAGAAAACACTCTTTCATTTTAATGTTAATTGAATACAAAACCTGTCAACACTCGCCTAGGTAAAACTACAGACCGCTCCTAATTAACTTTGAGACGCACATATATCATTATAGGTTTCGTTTGGGTTTTATCTCAAGTACCTGGTTTATTTTTTCCGTCTCAATTACCGTGTATCCCTTAGATTCGACTTTAATTTCTATTTATACCATCTTGCCTGGTAATCTTAATCGCTTCGTACCCAAAGACTTTTCGCGCATTTAGTCATCATCAGGCTGATGCACATCACCATGTTCAACAACAACCAAGTGCACTAAACATGGTGTGACACACAAAGGCAATGCACTGTGGATGCATTTAGTTTTGGTTGCCTGTTATGTACCAAATACTACAGTAGAAATTTTTACCATTTTAGTAAAAACCAATTTGCGAATTTCATCATGATCAGGGAAAAAGGCAAATGAATTTAACTCCACTGTTTAAACAAGTAAATCAGAGCAGACAACCAGGCAAGCAGTCTGCCTTGCCAAGGGGTAGACCTTGTTTCGACGTTTGCATGATTAAAAATTTACGGTTGAGAGGAGAAAGTATGACATGTGATAAAAAGAGTAACGACAACAACGAAGAGCTACTTCGAAATAGTATATTGTATTCGAATTATCTAAAGAACAACTGACAGGTGAAAAGTTATAGCTCGGTAGCCATAACCAAACAACATCATGTCTCCAATTCGCGCATTTGTAATGAAGTAGTAAAGGCTATTGTCATTTTGGAATTACAATGCTCTTAGGATTCTGCTATGTTATTAAAACTGGATGAAGTGTGTTAACATGTTGTTACAGGAGCCAGGAACTCGATTTTGTCATAATTAGGAACTTTTCATAATGTTTATAACGAAACCATATAACAATGTGGACTTTGTTGACATCTGATTAACAAATTGTCCATGAGTTTTCCATTGTCTATCACCTTATTGACGTCAGCGATGTTCAAATCTAAAGTGAAACCACGAGGTCTGCGGAGAAACACTTGATTGCGTCTCGCGTTTCTCCCTACGCTCCACTATTTTGCGAAACGAAACGAAACGAAACGAAATTGTACTTTTTTGCGAAACGAAACGAAACGAAATTTTGCGAAATGGCATTTTTTCACCTTTATTTAGCAAATATGTCCTCTTCGTCCGAAACAAAATGTGTCCAATAATAAAATGATCAATATTTCTAAGAGCCTGGTCACCTCTAATTTTATTAACCATAAATAATAGAACTCGTTTCGCAAAGTAGTAATTTTGCCAGAAGTACTATTTTGCGAAATGGCGTTTTTTCACCTACATTTAGCAAACATGTCCTCTTCGCCCGAAACAAAATGAAAGACAACTACTTGTTCTTGTTCTCAATTGATCTTTATTGGCTCGGAGTTTACTCTTTATTGTTGTTATAATTCTCTTTTCTATTCTGCTCTGTATTCCTTGTATTTTGTTCTGTTCTATTTATGGTTGCCGCAACTCTATTTTATAGTTGACCAACAACTCACATGCCTGACTGGCAAGCCGATCCACTTGATTTAGTTTAACGTTTTTTTGCTTGGCCACAACAATTTCCTCTCCAAAATGTCAAACCCAACTAGGTAGTACGATCAATGTAAAACGAGGTGAGCAAAATAACAAACCGTCACAAAGCATCATCTGGCAC